TTAAAGCAAAATCGATCATATAATTGAAAATCTAGACATTTCATTACAGATGAGTCCCAAATAGTCCAGATAGCCCCCGAAGCTCTAATCACATCTACCCCAACAAAATCTACCTGACCTATACCGCAAATATCTCTAATATCATGAAGGGAAAGACTAGGGAGTTTTGTTTCTTGAAGAAGCAATAAGTTAGGTTTATGATTCCGAACCAACAACAAGACTTCTCGTTTTCTCTTCGTCGCTCCCAGACCTCTTGCATTCCAACTAATAACCTTCATGATCACCAGATATTGTACCATCTCTAGCAAAAGGCGGGCCGCCAGCAGAGGTGGAACTGTCTGTGCTCACAGAACCAATAATCCAATCTGGGTCTACTTCCCTAAAAAGAACGGCCCCTTTCGATACTCCACTTTCTCGCTGCATGTCTAGAGGATGAATGAGTCGACTTGACCGCGTTCTCTCCAGTCATCTTCTTTTTACTATTCTCCTTGTCTTTTGCAGCATTATGGACAATTGTAGCTACATCATTCTTATCATTTACCTCACCCGCCTTTTTCCTCACCTTTAAAACGTTCATGATTGTAGCAATAGCTACATCTAATATACCCATATCAACTAAAATACTCTCAATGTCTACTGCTAAATCCAAGATCTCTTCAAACTCCTCCTCTTTTGTAACTTCGATCTCTCCTACCTCAGAATTTTTTACAAGCATCACATCTAAAAGTGGGATGACTTCTTCCTCCACCCCCTCACCTTAATGAAACTCAAGCCCTCCCCCTTCCTCTCTAGCCAATTGTACCTCTACCTCCCCTACCTTCTCCAATGGCATATCAACTTCATCATAATCAGCAATCATCAATTCAAAGGATCGAAATTCATCACCCCCTCATCATAGATCTCCAGTTCATCCCCATAAGACAACGTAAGAGATTCAACCTCAAGATGAACAGGATTTGCCATGCCCCCCTCTTCCAAAACTATAATGGGCAGCCCCTAGGCCTCTAGAGAAACCCCGAGGCTCCTCTCCTTCTTTCGGTGAGTAGCTTTCCTGAAAGGGAGGAATCTCTCCGCTATACTTGTAGCCCACTCCTCTCCCAACGCCTTCACCCAACTCATGTTAGAGACGAGCAGGACTCTCACCACCAACAGAAAGCCTAAGAGAGAGATAATAAGGTTGGCCTTTCCCCTAATTTGCCCTTTTTCTAGTTCCAAAAATGACAGATTTGACAAGGGCTTGAATAAACGACACCCAAGCACACGAGATAAAAATGACTCTACGCCGCCCTTCTTAGCCACTATTAAATCCCTTGCCTCCTGAAGAATATTCGTACCTTCTAAATCATCTACATCTGTAGATTTCAATTCCCTAGAAATAAGCTCATTTCTCATTATGTGTCTATCTGTCATATAACTGCACTGCCCTTTCTCTACAGTTGTCATTGTAAAATTATAAAAACTCTTAAAGTCCAGGTCAACTCCATATCCCTTTGAAAAATCCTCTTTCTTAGGTAATGCCTTAGACACCTCATTAGTGACCACTTTCGTTTTTGCCCCAAACCTTTTTGAATTTCAACTTCGCAGATGCAGCATTCTCCCTCCAATCCATCCATCCACGTAGAATTGGAAATGCAGCCTCAATTTTACCTCCCATCATCGATCTTGGTTGCTGAGCCTTATCTGCATCATTATCTAATGGCATCACCTTGTACTTACCCCGATCTGTCCTAATAGCATCCAATCATTATCTTCCGATGGTACTTTATATGAATGTTGCACTTTATCAGACTTCATTAGCACAATTGGATCTACCTTCTGAACTTTTCAACCTTCAACTTCCACTCTAATGAGAAAATCCTCTAACCCCGCAGAAAGCCTCAACCTACTTGGATTGGGGGACAAAGCATTCTGCTTAACTCTAATCCGTACATAAGAAGCTTCCCCATTATGGAAATGGGCCAGATCTGCCTCCAAAAAATCTCCACATAGGCACCTAACTTACGAAACACACTCAAATGCTAAGCATGTAAAGGTATTCCGAAAAAATTTGATCCAGCATATGTTTTTTTGGAGATAAAAAGGAATGTGCATAAAAACTCCATAAGTTAATGGCCAGAGTCTTACCTCTAATTCTGTAGATCGTCGTACTGATTGCCTTTTTAGCCTCCTCAACATTTATCAACATGAAAGCACATCTATTATCTCCTATCAACTTTACCCTTAGAAGCTAAGACAAATCCCAAGGAGCGCCTAGCCCGTTGTTAAGTCCAAAAAGATCATTTGAGGGTGGGCTAAAGCATCCCACAATCGTCGATTTTACAACCCTCACACTTTCCTCCAGCCCATTCAAACCAACCTGCAGACGAAGCAAATCACGATCCCGAAGTCCTCCATCATCTTCCTCCATCGATTTTGCAGGCCTAACACACACTTAACGTCCCCTAAGATTTACCCCAAAAAAAAAATCACAATATCCCTCTCTCTCTCTCTCTAGAACTCCCTATCCTCTATCATCTCTCTCATCAAAGCTTTGAATATGAAACGTGCACCCAAGGCACCTCTCTCTAAAAACCTTGTTGTTTCTCTCTCTAAAAAAGACACCAAAACGTAAGCCCCACCTTTGTTTCTTTCTAAACTTGGGTTTTTGCATACCCTCTACAAAAACTCAAAACCCAATCCTTGCTTTTCTCTCTAGAATTGGATTCCTACAATAACCTCTCTCTCCCGTTGCCACCCCTATTTTATTTTGTCCATTTTATACTAACAGAAACTAGCTATGCTATTCTCATCAATAGATGGTGAACATCACCATTTGTCTACTTTTCAAATTCCATTGCGGAGGAGTTGCTCTCATTTGCCGTTAGATACAAGGACGAATGGTAGATGGCAGGCCCTTGGATGCTTCCATTACTAAAAATAAAACCAGTGGTAGATGGCCATTATATTATGGGTGCGGTTTGTATAGAGCTTAGGCTCTAAACAATCAAATTAGAACCTACCTTTCAATAGTATCAAGAAATGTGGTTTCAATATTGGAAATCTTTTTTATAGCTTTAAAATAATTTTGATCTTTATTTATAAATTTTAAAAATTAAAAAAAAGTGTAGATCGAGAGATCTATGAAAACTTGAAAATCTTGAAAATTGAAGGTCCTACAAAATACACTATTTCCAAAACTTAGAAATCCATTTTTTTTCTCATGTCTATGCATCTTGATGTCGAGATGATGAGTTTGAGGATATTTAGGCATCAAAACAACCTCTTCTAGTGAAATTTTTGAGGTAGGCTCGAATTTGATTGTTTAGAGCCTCGACTCTATATAAACTTTTCCCTTATATTATTTTCATATTTAGTCGACATTGTATTTATAAATAATATATTTAACTTTTATAAATATTAACAAATAATTTACTGTTCATTTGCTATTACTGCAATAATTTATTTTACACAACAATAAAAAATTGATATAATTTTAAAATGTATTAAGTTGTCATATCGAAATTCTTGAATCATGTTTATTATAATTAATAATTATACATCGATAACCAAAGTTATTATTTTATTTATTAATTTATTTGGATTATAAATTATGTAATATATTATTTTTCGTTGTACTTGTAAACAATATTTTTTAAATTAGATGACATTATAAGACATTTTAGATTTACTCTTATTTGCATAGTAAAATAATAATAAAATATAAACCAACACTTTCAATTTTAGTATATGATATTATAGTTAGGTTGTGATAATTTTGGATGAGTAACGTGAATTAATAAATGTTTGATACTTTGATGTGAAACTAATTTCACTATATATGGGAAATTTTTTTAATCTTATACTATAGAAGTATTTTTTTAATATTTTTAAATTATTTTGATAAAAATTATATCTTTAAATTATTTTAATGTAATATTATAGTACTATATTATAATTAATAATTATACAAACATCCTGACTTGAAAACATCAACTCATTATTCATCTATTTTTACAAAATAATTAAAGTACATAATGAAACACTCCTAATTTCTTTTAGAAACTAAAAAAACATTATTTTTAGAAATTTATCGTGATTTTTTTAGAACATTTTGAGACAAAAATTTCCGATTTCCAATCTGATCTACCGATTCGCCGATCCAAAATAGGTATTTGTGTAACCGACTCGTGCCACCAATCCATTTTTTTTAACTTTGGATTAGACCGTTAGTTCGGTTCGATCGTGATAGCTACATATAAAAGAACTAACAAAAAAAACTTTTCAAAACTACATGACAGTTCTAACGTATTTCTCTCTCGGTTCTTTGGACCAAGCCCCGTTCATCTTTCTCTTAAATTTTTAGTTGATATAGTTTTTAGGGCACATATACTATACTCTAATATACTCTAGTGGGAGTAGAGTTTATACTTACTCACTTGTCAGAAGACCTATTTGGGAGGATTGTTTTTTTAATTTGAATTTTTGCAAACCAACTAAAAATCACAAGATGACTAATTTCAAGAGAAGAAATTTGAAATTTCTAATACATAGATCTTTCTCTCAAAAAATTGGATGATCTCTACTCAATCTCGTGACATTATTTTTTTCAAGTGAGCAAAAGGTGCAAGTAGAAAATCTTTTATTGAGACTATAGATTGAAGAGGTTATATTCCCAAAGTTTGGGGTTCTAAGAGTCCTAAGTGTGATTTTACCGAAGGGATTAAATAGACAAAATACTTTTTAGGCCTACTTGTATAGGAAACTGTCAAGAATTAGAATCCAATCTTTTGTAATGGACTCCCTTAAGATGGTTTAAGGAAAGGAGCTGGGGATATGGTGGTAGCACCCCTCTCTAGTCACCACATTATGGTTTTCATTCTTATTGATATTACCGACTAACATTTTAAAAAAACTAACTCCCAAACTATTTGAAAAAAAACGGATAGGAGCATGTCTTCTCCACTATAAAAAAAAAAAAAGACTTTGTTAATATGGTTTTGTTATCATGAAAAAAGGGCAAAATGCATAGGATCTCATGTGAGTGATCTGATACTCTTTAAACATGGCTTTGGACACTGACTTCTCCTTTTCTTTTCTTCTCTTTCGTTTTTTATTTTTTATTTTATTTTTTTACAAGCACATTGGCTAATCAGATGTGTATATCTTCCTCGACCATCTGGCTGTCTCTACACAAGAAAATTTGAAACCCTAGAATTTATATTCAAGTTGTTGAAGCAAGAAAGAGACTATCTCTTCGCCTTGATAATGTTGAATTTGTCCTCCACATTCTCTGTCCTCATGCTCACAAACTGAAATGCAACAATAAGAACAAGTAAATCAAATTAGAAGAGTGCAACCATGGAAATAAAAGGCAAATATACAGATAAGGAAATAAAACACCCAGTTTTTTTTGTCTAAGCTGATAATGGACGATAAAAGAAGGCGCACCCATACACAAACCCAATAGTTCCATACTTCCCTTCAAAATCTTTTGGAAAATTTTGTTTTACCAATTCATTTTGGATCTGCCTTACTCATGGTATAACTCTTGATAGAGCAGAATGACAAAATAGTATTTATATAACCGACCCCATATGATTTGGGATAAAACTTGGATCATGATAATGATGAATCAATTTTGATTCTTTTGTTGAGCTATTTTTCTTCTCGACTACACAAAACTATAACATTAATGTTGTGATCTCTTCGATAGCCTGAGATTGACAACATATTAAAAACAAAAGCTTTCTACATCCTTTTGTTATCATATTCATGTGATGGAGATAAGCAGTGGTCTGGATTTTGATTGAGCGACTACCAACAAGCCGACAACAATGTCAAACATTAAATTCATCTTAACAAGTGCAGCTACACTTCCCATATCATTGTTATCACCTCATTGATAATTGCTTGTTCAAGAACGGTCATCAATCGCCCAGAATATATAAGCACATAAGCATAGTGACTAATACAACAATTTCAAAAATCAAAGTCCTTAAACAAATTTATCGAATATAGTTGTGTTTTTTTTTTTTCATTTGGAAGAAGGATTATGGGCATGCCTTAACAAACGCCAAGGAAGGTGCAAAGAGATTTTACTGTGTTGGCAATTTTACAATTCGTTAATTACAAGGGGATTTACGTTCCACCTTATATTTAGTAAAGGATGTGGTTCGCATGAGACTGCTGCTTTACAATGAAAAGCAAAGCCGCACCCTAAAGCCCTGATAGAAAATATAATTTTGGTTTCGAAAATCTTTATTGTGACCCAAAAATTTATTTCCAACCCTGATTACAAAATTTGAAACCCCAAAAACAGTGTAAATCCAATGGATGAACACTTGAAAATGAATGATCCGATATGTGTTATAAAAATATTTTTTTAGGACTTGAAATCTTTTCCTTTGAGATCTATAATTATAGATTTTGCGATGATCAAATCAAAGGGTTTTCATAAGAAAAAACTTGTCTCGGCAAGATTTGCTTCTTGGCTTTAAAATCCACGGCCTTCGGGATTTTTACGTACAGATTGGGTAAAATTATCAAATTTATCGATTGGTTCATAAATTTGATAATGCGAGCCCTACTCCCCATTTTTATTATTATTTTTTCCAATTCTGCTCTAAGTTTGATGTTTCAAATACCGAACCATTTATTTATTTACTTTTAGTTTGACATTTTGTGAGGTGATTCAATGTCCAATATGTCGAACTGCCACATTTGTAGGGGTGGTCCCATAACTGCAACATCGGATTGCCCTACATTGCCCAATATTGTCTATGGGGCAGTCCGATGTTACAAATCAGATTGCTTTTTTTCATAGTTTTTCTATAATTTAGCTTTCTGCGTTTTTGAAGATCGCACCATTTTGTAGCTACTTTTTTTTTTTTACTAACTATCCATTGTCTAATGTTTAAAAGCTCATACCACTAAAATATAAAACACTATAAAAATGTGGGTTCAATATTTGTAATATCAGACAGGCCTAAAAAGAAGGATGGGCAAAATAAATTTAGAGAGATCCCATGTAGCAATTGTTGAATCCCTTGCAAATGGCGCAACATCAGTATTTTAGACATCGGGCAGCAACACAAATGTCAAAAAAAATAAGTGGTTCCAATGTTTTGAAACATCGAACCGAGGAGATAGAAATACCAAAAATCAAGAGAGTAAGACCTCACAATAAACTTATTAAACTTATGAGCCAAAGGATAAATTCAGTAATTTTAACTGGACGTACAAATCTTTATTTTTTTGTCATCTGAATTTATGACCACCATTTTGAAAAGCTATAGTAATTTACACCGACTCACCCACCCAATCAAAAAGAAAAGAAAGAGAAAGAAAAGACATGTAAACAAGAGATTACAATCACTCTCGTCTATCAAATTTTAAATAAGTAGTCATAAGAGTGTCATCAACTAGACTCAAAATCTGATGGTCGTAATTGTGATAATAAAGATAAGGGTGTGGTTTCTATAAGGTTGCAACCTTACACAATCCAATTAAGGCGCACCTCTAAATTTTGTCATAATAGGTAGTTTCGGTGTAAAAAATTCTTAAGATTATCCGAAAATCTATTTTCATATCCAATTATAAAATTTTAAACTACATAAAAGTTAAAATCAAGTAGATCTATAAACATATGAAAATCTTGCAAATAGACAATTTAGATATTATATCGTAAAATGCACTATTTTTGGCACTCAAAATCTAACTTTTTTTTTTTTTTTCATATTCATATATCTCGACGTCGAGATGATCAATTAGAGGGTTTTTCAACATTAAAACAACCTTTTCCGATGGATTTTTAAGGTGCATCTTTTAAAGTTGCAAACCCTATATAAACTTTTTCTCAAAGAGAAATGGTTTCATATCCACAAAAAAAAATAGAGGATAATAAGATGTGGAAAGTGGGGGCAAAGATACAAAACAAAAACAATGCACGCCTTCTTACCTCCAAGGATAGCTGCTCCTTGGTTCCTTGTATTCTAAAATATCCAAATTCGGAAGCCCTAACCAAACTCCATTTGCCAACCTATACCAAGAGACCAGGATTTGTCAAGTAATATGAATAGAAACAGCATTTTACAAAGACTAATCAAACACAAGGAAACTTATGAACCTTACATCTAAGAGTTGAGCAATTTAATTTTTGATAGGCTATTTAAAACTTGATCAAAAGAAGGATATACTATTTGAAATAAGATCAAGGGAACCTAGTAAAATGTCAAATAGTTCAAGTTAAATACACTGTTTGGTGATCCGGATCGCCCCGTTGGATTTTTTATTCAGTTCGACAAATAGCGATTCAGATTCCTGGACCAAATAAACTATTTGAAATAAGATCAAGAGAACCCAATAAAATGTCAAATAGTTCAACTCAAGGTTTAAAGTCACTACTCGGTGATCCGGATCAACCCTCTGGATTTTTTATCCGGTTCGACAAATGGCGATCCGTATTCCTGAAGCAAATATTAAAAGTTAAAAACTTTGAAACAAAAAAAAAGTGGGGTCGGTTCTGACCCAGTTCTATTGAGAGACTAGGCGTGTCACAGGCGAAGCCAGCCGGTTCCGACCTAGTTCTATTGAGAGACTAGGCGTGTCACAGGCGAAGCCAGCCGGTTCCTAATATTTTTATAGGAATCAGTTTAAGATCGATGATTACTGATTTAGTTCGGATGATTATGATCGGAATCAACATTTTTTAAACATTGATTCAACTCTTAGATGTGATTTGATACATTTCCTTGAAATATACCAATCTTGAAAGGGAAAAGTTTATATAGAGCCTAGGCTCTAAACAATCAAATTAGAGCCTTCCTCAAAACTTTCACTAGAAGAGGTTGTTTTGATGCCCAAATATCCTCAAATTGATCATCTCGACATCAAGATGCATGGACTTGAGAAAAAAAATGGATTTCAAATTTTGGAAATAGTGCATCTTGTAACGTATTTTTTGACCGTCAATTTTTAAGTTATTCAAATTTTCATAGATGTACTTGATCTATACTATTTTTTAAGCTTTAAAATTTATAATTAAAGATGCAAATATATTTTAAGGCTAGTCAAAGATTTCGAGTATCAAAACCACATTTCTCGACACTATTTGAAGGTGGGCTCTAATTTAATTGTTTAGAGCCTCAACTCTATACAAACCGCATTGATCTCTAAATAACAAAAAAAAAAAAGTGTAAACAAGGAGAGAGATATTACGATAATGGGGAAGGCATCTAGGCTAAAGCCAGCCATTCCAATGATAGCATGAATAGGGGCAGTGTAGTTGGTGTTGTCATAGGTGTCTAAGCCACTCTTATCCTTGTTTGGCATGCCCTTGCACTCCCCCTCATACAAGAAGCAGCTTCTCTCATAATTATGAACATGACCAAATAGAACTAAGTCTACCTGTTATTATCATAACAACCAAACAACCCTAGTAGTTAGTACCAAACCCACAGGAAGGATCCTGTGCTACATGTAGTGTACTGTTTGTGTGCTTCATGCAATCTCAACCATCCATCTGATTTGGCAGATGATGAAGATGAACCATTCTCCATCTCCCTAGCTGTCATTGAAAATCAATGGTCGAGCTCCCGTGCAAAAAAAAAATCAATGGTCGATCTCCCGTGCAAAAAAAAATCAATGGTCGATCTCTTATGTGGTAAGTAAACAATATGCTCCATGTGGTAATTCATGTAGATGTTCCCAAAATGAAATATTATTTTGTAAGAGAAACTTGTGATCTAGATGTAGTGCTTTGGATGCAAAGGCTGCAATACATTGTTTAAGATGTGAATCCCAAGCTTTGGATGCAAGGGCTGCAATACATTGTTTAAGATGTGAATCCCAAGCTTTGGATGCAAGGGCTGCAATACATTGTTTAAGATGTGAATCCCAACAGATCTACTCATGTAAGTGATCCAATTATTCATGAAAGATTAAGTATTTAACATTGTGCCCATATCTTTGATTTAATTTCAAAATACCCATAAAAGGCCAATTATATTGGTAAAATATTCATGTGTATTTCAATAAAATTTTTAATTTTAAATTACTTTATTTAAATCAAATGTTATAAATTATCTTAATTATTATTTAATTTTATTCATTTTGACATTATTTATAAATTTAATTAATTTTCTAATACTACTTTATTCCAATTTTCATGTTTAAATCCAATTCTTATGTAGTAATAATTCTTTGTTATTTTGTTGACAATAAAATTGTTGAATCTATTTCCAATTCTAGCTAGATTTCCTTTTTTAACTTAGGACGCCATTAGCATGTGGCCAGCCTACATATTATAGAAATGCAGGCTTGGCAATAAATATATTTTTTAAATATGATTTGATCTTAATTTTTAGAGAATATGTAATCTTTAACATAGAGATCATGAATATGATAAATAAATAAAATTTGAAAACTAAAAATAATAATTATATTAAAAAACATTTGGACCGTTAGTTACAATTGTTTTTAGATGGACCACCTATTTGCGTTCATCTTTAAGATGGATGTACATCCAGACCACAAATTGTAGAAATGCGGTACGGCCCGCATGAAACAATTGTTCTTTAACTTATTATAATATTTTAATTTTTGAAGTTTTGAATTTTTTTCCTTTATTTCCCTCATTCCTGTATATTCTCTATAGTTTATTTTTAAGAGATGAATTTAGGCAATAAATGAGGCGGTTTTTTAAATGAGAGGTAGATATGACACTTTTTTTATAATTCTTGTTGCATTCGGTAAAAGATCTCTAAAATTGAGAGAGAGTGCGTGTGTGAGAGAATTTAGCGAAATGGGAGAGACAATGAGATAGAACATGTAATTTAAGAGTCACACTTCCTTTTATATTTATTTATGTATGTAGTTGGGATATTATTTTTTGGATAGAATCTATATTTATGATGAAAAAATAGGCAAAAAGCTTAGGAAAGGGGCTATGTCATGGTGGTAGCGCCCTCGTACTTAGTTTCCATGTTGTGGTTTTCAATCCTGTTTACACCACCCTCTGACACCTTCAAAAAAGCTCTCTCCCTAATTTATACCGAAAAAATAGGTACGGGCAGGTCTACCCCACTGAATTACCTAAAAGAATTTCAAAAAACAAAAGTTTTACCTTGTGTTTCATGAGGAGTGGCTCAACTGCTTTTGTGAAGCGTTGATCTACACTTGGGATTATACCTCCTCCTTGTGAGGAATACATGGGCCTGTGTCTGTTCAATCAAATCTCAACATGCTTAGCCCTGAAGGCTATTAAAAGAATAAAAAAAATATAGGTATTGTTGTTATTCCATTAAAAAAAAAAAAACTTTTGTCAATTTCTAAAATAAGGCTGCAATGGTACATGAAACATCACGAGCCAAAATATAACGAAATAGAGAGCAAATAATGACAGGTATTGAGGCCTCACGGCCAAATGATTGACTCAAAAGTTAACCAAATTTCAATGAAGATGGGGGCAAATTAGGGCTGGCACCGGGCCTGGGCCTGGGCCTGGGCCTGGGGCATGCGGGTCTGGTCTGGGGCAGGCCAGGCTAATAAAATTCTAAAACGAAAAAACAAAAAAGATGGTGGTCCGGTCTGGAACAGGCTAGGCAAATAAAATTTTAAAAAGAAAAATCAATAAGGGCGGACCAGGCTGAACCGAGTTGGTCCTAACCTAGCCCCAGCCCGGCCCTACCCGACCCTTGGGTCAGCCTTCGGGCCTATGCCACAAAATCCAATTCCCACATTTTGTAGCATAGGCCCTAATTTTTAGGGCCTGGCGAGGCCAGGCCACCCAACCAATTGCCACCTTTAGGGCAAATAAACAAGTAATCTGATATTGAAAATCAGTAAATTATCGAAGTTCCAAAATCATACCCTGTGAAAATCACCCATGGTGTCTTTGATCGGTCCACAGATGCCAGGTCCTTCTCTATCCATTTGTACTATTTCACACCAAATACGAAGAAATATAGAACTTCAAATTTCTACCAAAACATACAAGTCCCCACAAAACATCTAATTGTGTATGACTTGGATCCCATTTGATTCAATTGTTTCGTTTTGGAAATTAACTGGTGTCTAAAAGGAACTGCTTTTTCCGATCTTCAAAAGAATTCGAACTTCAAAGGAAAATGAGAAGAAACATGACACGAAACATAAGGAAAAATTTGAAAATACCTGCTCACTTTCTTGAGTCCAATCATGTTCTGTTGAAATGACTGTGAAATGGATGCTGCCCATGTCAATGGAATACCATGGCTTATCTTTTGAAGATGAAGGCATGGGAAAGTAGGTCTCGTAAGGGATTCCACATTCTCCCCCTGAGTCTGGTGTTTCGTATACCGACCCTGAATCCACATAGTCTCTACAAAAAACAACCATTTCTTCATTCACAAACAAGAACAATTATTTTCAAAAAGGTCACACTTTTCTTCTTTTTTTCATATAAATTAGAGTTATCCTTGCAAAAAATGTATAAAATACCTTTCATGGTTTCCAATTGCGGTCATGTAAGAAACTCGAGAAGCGACAGGGTGGATGAGATGAAGGAAGTAATCCCACTCCACTAGAAATCCTGTAGCATAGCTGATGTCTCCAATGTGGAACACTGCATCTACATTGCCTGAGGCCACCTCCTTTTCTATGGCTTCGATCACCATGATTGATCCTGGCTACAAAATTCAGAAATATACTTGGGTCATCATTAAACTCAATGCCTGCTAATGAATAATTTAGTTAAGAGAAAAAGCATAAATTCCAACAAAATTAACCACAAAATTTTAAGTAAACATTTCAAAGTGATAGCCTATAGTTCACCTGGATGAAATGCTCAACTGATAAATCTCTAGGAGCCTTCCCCATGTCACCAAATGCTACGATCCGAACCTTATCGGACCCTCCCGCTGTGGGAGTGTGAAAATTGATCTTTTCACTCCAACCAGCAGACTCACTGTAAAATAACAAAAAATATTAAATAAACATATGAGGAAATATCTTAATATCAACAACATATGAATAATATCATCCCATTAAAGGAAATATCTTAATATCACCAAAATATGAGTAATATCATCCCATTAAAGGAAATATCTTAATATCAACAAAATATGAGTAATATCATCCCATTAAAGGAAATATCTTAGTATCAACAAAATCTGAGTAATATCATCCCATTAAAGGAAATATATTAATATCAACAAAATATGAGTAATATCATCCCATTAAAATAAATATCTTAATATCAACAAAATATGAGTAATATCATCCCATTAAAGGAAATATCTTAATATCAACAAAATATGAGTCATATCATCCCATTAAAGGAAATATCTTAGTATCAACAAAATATGAGTCATATCATCCCATTAAAGGAAATATCTTAGTATCAACAAAATATGAGTCATATCATCCCATTAAAGGCAATATCTTAATATCAACAAAATATGAGTAATATGATCCCATTAAAGGAAATATCTTAATATCAACAAAATATGAGTAATATCATCCCATTAAAGGAAGTATCTTAATATCAATAAAATATGAGTAATATCATCCCATTAAAGGAAATATCTTAATATCAATAAAATATGAGTAATATCATCCCATTAAAGGAAATATCTTAATATCAACAAAATATGAGTAATATCATCCCATTAAAGGAAATATCTTAATATCAACAAAATATGAGTAATATCATCCCATTAAATAGGATAGATATGGGGCCTATTTTTATAAGGGGCACTCTTGTTATTTTATGCTTCTTTTTTCTATGAATTCCATTATTTGGTTTTTTTTGCATTCATTCTTCGATGAATTCCATTATTTTCTTTTTGTTGCATTCATTCTCCTATGAATTCCATTATTTGTTTCTTGTTGCATCTATTTATCTAGGAAAAACTATTGTCATTTTTCGTCTTATACTAAGTGTTGTTTTTACTGGTACCCTTTTATACTAGCTTGGTCTCCAGCCAGTGGTTTGTATGCTGATGCAAAAATGCATAAAATTGTGCATTATTTTAACTATTTATTTTTTATTTTCTCTCTTTGATTTTTAATGGTTTTCTTTCATGGGTTGATAATATCTACTTCCCATGCATCATGATCATGGTAGAAGACATACTCATCAAACGAACTTGGAAGTATGTAATTTACAATTTTGTAGTAAAAACTGATGATTGGTTTTCATATTTCCTACTTGGTTACTAAATAAGGGAAATGGTTTGATAGGGCAGCCCTATCAAAATAAGTAAAGCCTTACCTCATAACTCATCTAAAATTTCAATTCAAGCATTGAGTAACTGTTCTATGATCATCTCAGCTTGAACATTATTGTTATAAAAAAGAAAAAGATTTCAAGCTCTAAAAATAGTATATATTGTAACAAATTATTTAGACCCTATATTTCACTCTCAAAATAAGTATTCATAGATCTACAAGATCTATACCTTTTTTTTAGCTTCAAATTTTATTGTCGGTGTTAGAAATTTATTTTAGAGCCATCATGGAGATTTCCCTTGTGAAAAGTACTATCCGGAGGTGGATTTGAAGTGAGGATTTAATTTGTTTTCATAAAACCTAGGCCTTATAGAAACTTCATCAATTAAATAAGGGCTGACCTACCCAAAGAAAATAATTGGTTCTCTAATTAAAAAAAATTACCGATATTTTCCGATGAAGAAGCAGATATCTTATGTTATTTCTCTTTCAGATGTGCGAATGAGTCATTTGGGTAGTAAATCTTAAACTTTGTAACTTTTACATTAAAAGTTTAGTCATTGCCAGAAAGACTCGTGGATAGAATCGACTCTGAAGTAGGGATGGCAACGGGTCAGGTCGGGACTCGGATCACCCAAAAATTAAAATATCTATGTATTTAATTATATTTAAATATATTTCATATAATGAAACCCGAAAAATATTACCAGACCTAGACCCAGACCTGACCAGCAGGATCCAAGTTTTGGACCTATACCCAGATCCGGATCAGATCTACCCCCAGGTCCCTATACGGGTCTGGGTACATTACCACCCCTCACTGAAGTCATTATTGGAAATTTAACAGGAAGGTCTAGGTTGTTTAGATGTCTCTGTAATCTTGTGGACTATATTAATAGTACTTTGTTGGTTTGTCAAGGTTCAATTAAAGGATAGTCAACGATGGAGAACGAGAGCGCTCCACCAAAAGATGATATCACTTTAAAGATGGGTCCCAATTAGACATCTGACAACTTGGCCTCTAAGACTAAAACGTTTTCACTTAGGACCCACATGTACAAATACGGGCTTGGCAATCAATAAATTTTTTAAATACAATTTGATCTTAATTTTTAGATAATATATAATCTTTAACATGAAGATTATTAATATAAAAAAATAAATAAAATTAGAAAAATTAAAATAATAATTATATTAATAAAATATTTGGACTGTTAGTTACAATTATTTTTAGATGAACCGCCTATTTGCGTCCATCTTTAAGATGGATGCTTTAGACATCTAGACCTCATATTATACAAATGTGGTCCGGCCTGCATGAAACAATTGTTCAATTTTAAAAGGTGTGATTTGCATAAGGTTGCAACCTTAAACAATCAAATTAAGGTGCACCTTTGAATTTTATCATAAATGTAATTTTCATTTCAGAGAGTTTCCGTGACTTTGTCCGCGTCAACAAAAATGATTGATATATTGTGGACACTAGACGAATCGGTGTGAATTTTATCATAAATGTAATTTCGATAACAAAAAAAAAGGATAGCTTGAGAATTTATTTTCATCGCTAGTTATGAAATTTGTAACTTCAAAAATAGTTCAAATCAAATAGATCTATAAACACATGAAAATCTTGAAAATGGACAATCTAGATAATGTGTTGCAAGATACCCTATTTTGAAACTCAAGATCTATTTTTCTTTTCATATTCATACATCTCGATATCGAGATAACCATTTATAGGGTTTTTCAACATCCAAACAGCTATTTATGGCAGATATTTAAAGTGCACCTTAATTCTACAATTTAAGGTTGCAGCCTTATATAAACTTTATCCAATTTTAAATGTTAAGAGTTTTCCTTCTAATAAATTTTCTCAAGAAAGTATCATTCTCAATATGAGTAATTTGGTTGTTTTTAGTAAAGGTTAAAATTTTCCTAAAACTTGTATAAAAGTTTCCTAAAACATTTTGTCCCAATCTTGGATTAAAATGGCTAGTGACATATATAGAATTGTAATCAATACATGGATGGAGGACTATACCCTAGTAACTTGCCTAAAACATTTTATGAAAAATAAAGAACAAAATTAAGAGACTTAAGAAAATATTAAAACAAAATCAATATTAGTGTTACCTTCCATATCTGTAAGAATAGGTTTGGGAGGATTGTAATCCTGTCATTACAGCTGAGTGTATGTAACCAGGATCATGCCATCCAAAATCTTTTGCAGGGCTAGCTAAATCGGAAGCTACCAAAACCAAAAATCCATGAGATATAATTAATCCAAAAATGTATTAAAGAGCAATGTCAATGAATAAAGATCACCAAATCTTGCCTTTCCATGGCACACAAATCAAATTTGGAGCCTAACAAAATCTACAGTGTAAATATTTCCAGTATATATTCTGTAATTTTAGAAAAATATTGCAAGGCTTCCAAAAAGAATTATTTAATATCATGGAGTTTGGCATTTATTTCTTATTTTTACAAAACATTTTCAAAATAATTTTTTTTAAAAAAATAACCATAACCTTACAAAAAATTATTTCTTTCAATGGATATCAAATAGAAAACAGTATGAGTAAAAACATAAGCTCAAAAGAAACCAATTTCAATTTGGGCAGTTAATTTTTAGTTTTTTTTTTTTTCTTTTTTTCTTTTTTTTGTGTATTTAAGTGTTCTTGCAAATTTTAAAGAGAAATAAAAGTTAAAATTTGAGTTTGACTTATACTCACTGCACATATCACCCCTGGTGAATGTGGAGACTGTGGACTTTTGAGATTTGCCGTCCCCATATTGGACTTCTTGTGGAGAACGATCTCCACTTACCCAAGTTAACCTCATCTGCAATTCCAAACACTCCAATCCTCATCAGTCCTATTTAGGCTCTAAGAAATTTAACACACAAAAAACAAAAACCATTTTCACATAAAGATACAACTTTCAAATACTAAGTTTCATTACGAATCAACTGAGAAGAACATATTTTTCAAAAATAAAGGGATTAGCTATTACAGAGGTCGCAGTAGAATCGATGCTTGAAAGATGGCCATAGAGAGGCATTTTCGGATTTGCAAATTTCAAGGGTTGAGATCTCCTCAAAATGCATGGTGTCTCAAAGCCTCCTGTGAAAAACACAAATTCTATGTCGGTCCTTATATTCACAACATGAAATGTGATAGACCCACTGCATGTTCTTAGCACGCAGACATTGCTGGCATGTGTTCGACACTCTTTCTTCCCACATTTGAGATATGAAGGGTCCATGCTTAAGAATTGGGCCTGCAAATTGTGGATCAAAGTATCAGGAAAGAGAGAGAGATTCTTATCATTGAGGGATTTGGTCAGGCTCAGTGTGCCGGAACTCGCCTTGGCTAGGGGTTATGCCCCGTGGCCAAGGTGAGACGGTGAGTTACTCAGCCGAGTTCGCACATGGCCTTTGGGACTAAAAAATTTTAATAATAGAAAATTTGTAGTAAAAATACAGTGAAACCTAAAACAACTTTACAAAGTTAAAACAAGCTCATAATTGTATAGAAAAACTGGATTTAAAAAACTGATTTAAAGTTCAAAAAATTTTAAAAATTTCAAAAAAGAGGAGAAAAGAGTGATTATAGCAAAAAACACTCACCAATCTTTGCCCGGTACATCAAAATCGTATACAAAAAAATTATACAACAATCCAATTGTTTTTACAGTTTTATTAGAGTTTTCTGCAGTCTTTTTATATCCCCGATTTGTAGACCCAACTCAGGAAAACTCACCCAACTCAGGCAACTCGGGAAAACTCTCAGGCGAGTCACAGCACACTGGTTAGCCTTATTAATTGTTTCTCAATTTTATTGTTTCAGTTACAACTTTCGGTGTTTCATCTAAAACCCGAATAGTTTTGGTTTTACTGAAGTGTTTCAATTTTATTGTTGCAGTTACTTATTCATGCCAAAAGAAGAATCTAAACCTTTGTTCCCAGAAATGTAAGAAAAGTTCCAACTCTTTTACATAAGTAAAGTTAACTAGTTGTTAATTCTAAATATTATAGATTCCAATTGGCTTTGCCCTTAACAGGGGTTGTTTTCCTTGGTTTCCATTCAAATTTTAATTCTCCCAAAATTCAATTAAAAGGATTTTTCATTCTTAATTCATTAACTGAAAAAGATTGAATTTATCATTACCTTCACAGGGTAATGGCAGAGAAGAGGAAGGCTGCTGAAGTCCCCTGTTTGCTGATACATTATAGAATTGACGGGACAGCTTGATACACTGTCATCACATACTAAAAATTAAGATAAAAAAAAAAAAACTTCAAGAAAGCATAAAATGTAATGTTATATTGAGGGAGAAGCTTCAAAGTTCAATCCTATCAATCATAAAACAAACCAAAAGTATTATGAACAAAACCTTTCTCTTAATGGTGAATTATAATTTCCTGTTATTACATCTCCTTGAATATAGGCCACACCGTGTCATTGATCAACAAATTTAAATTCAAAAAAAGAAACTATATATGAAACTGGTGAAAATTGAAAAACAGAGAATTCTTCTTACTCTGAATCAGAAGGTGAGATCATGGCAACCCAATCGGATTTATCTGGAATTATCACCCCACTAACTGTAACAGTAACATTCTGTTCGTTCGCAAGGGGATCAACAGAGGTTACATTGATTGCAAGGTAAGGATTAGGGTCAGGACAAGTTAATAAAGATCGTCGGTTTATTAACCGAAAACTTGATATTCCAGTGAACCCATACAAACCAGAAGGAGAATTCTGAACATTCCGGCCACACACAAAGGGGATAAGGGGGCTAAAAAGAACCAACAAAAAGATGGGTTGCCCCACCAAAGAAAACCATATTCTTTTGGCCATCTCCATTGAAGCAATCAACCTCTGGTATGTCGAATTCTTTTGTAAATTCACAATCAAATTCGAGTATGAACAATTCGTTTGCAATTCTCTATCATATCAGTCTCTTTTTTTCCCCTTGTTTTTCCTTTTCCAGATTGTTTTCTCTGATCTGATTTTATGGGGTATTGCATTCTCATAGTTTTGGGTGGCTCGCAGGTTTATATAAGCAACAATTTGGAAGGATACGGTGGACCCTCAGAACTCCCTGTAAAATTTGGGAGAGTAAGAATTCCGTTATTTGGCAGTTGGCGCCAACTTTTGGACTTCCAATTCATATTGGAAGTTCTCTCTGTCTTACTGGCACATGAGGACACGTCTAAAAGTCTCCCTCTGTTTCTTCAAATTAAACCTTATAAAAAACTATTAAATGTAAATCTCTCTCTCTCGCACATATTCTATGAGGACATGTGACATGTCTGTAATTCTCCCCATGTTTCTACAAACTACACCTTATAAATATGTATTCATAAACTTTATAAGGATAAAGAAGTGATTTAAAAATGGGAGGGCTTTCTATGCTTCCCCTACAGCATAAAACTTATATACTACCCCTTATCGAACCGCCCATTCTGAATGGAGGGCTAAGATTGCCCCAATGACAATGTCAGGTGTCTACACTAATTTATTTTTAATTTTTTTTTTTATAAACTATTTTGACAACAAATTTTAGACATTCATTCATCTATTAAACTCACACTAGCAAAAAATATAAAAAAATTAATATTTTCAATAAAATAAAATTACCAAAATACTCCTGAAATATTTGAGGGGTATTTTGGTCATTATATTTTTATCAAAAAATTATTTTTAATATTTTTCATAGGTGCGCCCCAATGAGAAGATTGCACGTACCAAATTTCATATTCATACAATTTTTATTAAAAAAACTAAAAGTAAAACACTTTGAGACGTCGGATCTAAGATCAAACGGTGAGTGGCTCTCTTGATCAAAATTGGACGGATGGATGGTAGGGGGAGGATAGAACTTCTATGCTGTAGGAGAAGTATAGAAACATTTCCCCCACCCACCCACATATATGGTATATGTTACCCCTGGTCTCATCCATCACATTTGAGTAAATGGCTAAGATGGTTTGAGTCACAATGTCACATGCGAGTACTTAACCGTCAGATCTTCATCAGACAGCTCAATTTTTATTTTTTTATTTTTATTCTACAAATAATTTTTTAAGCAAAATTTGGGGCTTGCATAGATCTGATAGGGGTGCACATGATAAAAATAATAAAAAATATTTCTGGTGATGAAAAATTTCTAGAATATCCCTAAATATTGTAGGGGAATTTGGGTCATTTATTTTTACAAAAAGTATTTTATTTTTATATTTTTAAGGTTTGCCTTAATTTTATAATGAGATACCCAAAATTTTATCCAAATAGATTTTGTAGAAAAAAATGAAAAATAAAATATTGTTTGACATGATATTGTGGTATGAACAATCTTAGCTGTTAGATTCTATCGAACGGCTAAGAAGTGGGGTCACATGTAACTTATATGTTGTTGGGGTCGCACAGAAACATTTCCCTTTAGATTTAGAAATTGATGGCCTGGATCGGGAATCACCTATCTGGACCGGGAGTTGTTTTGGTTCCTATAGATTCATCTGGTTCCATGACAGAACTGGGCAGGTTTTGTAGTGAACCATGCAAGCTGAACCAATCACCCAATTTCCAAACATTACTTTTTTATTATTTAATTTTTATTGACCCAATTCTCCGATCTGGATCAATTTTCCATATGGCATGTTAGCCGATCCATCTTGTTAAACACTACGATAAAAATATCAAATGCAAAATCTCTCTCTCTCTCCCCACTAAATCATTGAATTTCTAAAAATAATTAATGTTACCGACTTATATTAAAATATGTCCCTTTCAGCAAGTATTGATCTTAGTTTTGTTTGTCGGGGTGCATTTGAGAATTAGGTTAGGGTTGTGGTGGTAGTACTAGCTCCAATTAAAAAAATAAAAATTAAAAAATTAAAAAAAAGAAGAAGATAGGGTCTCCATTCTCATCAACAATTTAAAAAAACGTAATTTCCCAACAAACCATGCTCGGTCTTATACTCAAAATAGACAAGCGACTCTTATCTCATTCATTGAAGGAGAGAGAGATCCGGGAGTTTAGACTGAGGAATGAGAGAAACAGTGATTTAAGAATATGGTTGGCCACATAATTAACAAGATAAGGTTGTGCGGGTTAATAATTAATACTTACGGACCCATCCAAAGCTTGTTGAGGGGCCATTCGCTTTTAGCATTAGCCACAATTCGAAAGATTCTATGCTCCCACGGGAGCATATCCTTTATTGCTCCCTCAGGTAAAACTCAATTTATTAGTATTTCTAAGATCCCAAGTTTTAGGGATCTAAGCATGTATTCCGGAAAAAATAATGTTTTAAGAAGCAAAAATACTATTTTAAACAGTTGCAAATATCTCAAAATATAATCTCAAAATATAAACTTTTATAGAATATAATCATGAGGTGATTCTTTGGTGGATCCCAAAAATTCAAATCGAAAAGAATAGCTCTGTCGTCCGAGGGAGTGATTAGCAGTTGACATTAACAGTGCTATGTCTCAAGTTCGATTCCTATGTCTGAACTATCTCAATAAAAATAAAAATAAATAAATAAATAAATAATGTTCTCCTTGTATACCGATCTAGGTTCAAATTCGATCATAAGCTTTTTAATGTTTCATTATTTAACTTCTTTATTCAATTTCTCTATATAATTTGTCTTTCCATGAAGCTCTCTGTTTTCAGTAAAATGTACCCAAATTTCCTTATTTGAGTGATCCTCTTTTGAAAATTAGTTTGCACCTATTATGATGTGATAGGTTCTTATTTTTTTGGGATTTCTTAAAATGGACAACTCATTTGATTGGGATTTCTATTTGGCAATCATATTTTAATCCAAATCCCTATTTAAACTATTAATATATTTGTGCTATTTCAATTGGATTTGAATGTTGGGGTATATAGAATAAGATCCTATGATGATATATTTCTTAGTCAATGCTATTAATATGTTATTTTTTATAGAAATTTTAAATTTTTGGATTAATCGATAACATGCAGGGACTTGCTTTCCACCAGTTGTCCACAATTATTAAATGCTAAATATAATAATATCATTTTGAACTATTTTATTTGCATAGGGGCGAAGAGGACTAGGGAGACAAGAATAGGAAAAGAATAAAGCATTTAAAAATAAATAAAATAGTAAAAAATAAATAAGCATTTGGTGGTTTCATCTTAGTAATATAAAGAGCGGAGATAGCCAGATAGATGGTCGGAATATTAAGATGGAGGCATAAGTCATAAAATGGAACAAAAAAAAAAGCTAGAAAAGATCATACAAATTTTACGGCGATGACTTCTATTGTTTCTGGTGAGGAACATCTTTATATAAAGAAGAACTATTGTTTCCAAATGGTGGCGGATACTCTTGCTAAGAAGGCCACAACTTTATCTGATACTATATTTTGGTGCTCTGGTTACTGGATTTTATTTATCTTTCTTTGCTTCATGATTTGGCAAAATTCCCTTATTGTAGAGTTGTATCATTATGAACTGTATTTTCTTTGTTATTATTAATAAAAATGGGTAGGAAGCTTAATTTACCCAAAAAAATCTACTCTTTTAATTTTGGTGTATGTAACTGGATGATTGTTTCATTTTGGTACAAAGGTTATAATCACCCTTGGTTATTAATGTGAAATTTGAGGACTTGAGGTTTGTCATAATGTTATATCTTAAAATTTGTGCCCAATAAATTGCACCGTTTAACTGCCCGATTTCACATCTAACCATTAGTATGTAGTCAAGCTTTCTATGCTTCCCCTATGGCATAGAAGTTCTATCCTCCCCTTACCATCCAGCTGTTTAATTTTGATCAAGAGAGCTACTCACCTTTTGATCTTAGATCCGACGTCTCAAAGTATTTTATTTTTATTTTTTTATACAAATTGTATGAATATGAAATTTGGCACGTGCTATCTTTTCTTTGTGGCGCACCTATAAAATTTATTAAAAATATTTTTTCTATAAAATATAATAACCAAAATACCTCTTAAAACTTTTAGGGGTATTTTGGTTATTTTATTTTATTGAAATATTTGTTTTATACTTTTCGCTAGTGCGAGTTTAATAGAGGAATGGATGTTCAAAATTTGGTGTCAAAACAATTTATAGAAAAACAAATAAAAATAAAATAGTATAGACACATGACATTGTGATTGGGGCAATCTTAGCCCTGCATTCAAAATGGGTGGTTGGATAAGGGGGAGGATAGAACTTCTCTTATGTAGGAGAAGTATACGAAGCTTGCCCAAAAATAAATGGCCTTATTACATGTTTTTGCATAAATTTACTGGATGAGGTTTCTGTAAGACCCATGCATCATGAAAACAAAATAAAACCTCACCTCAAATCCTTATTCGGAAAGTACTTTCGACGGCGGAAATATCTATAATGTCTCTAAAGTTAATTTCCAACACTGACAATAAAATTGAAACTAAAAAAATAGTATAAATTTCGCAGCTTTGAACACTTAATTTTAAAGCAAATGGACGGTCTAGATAATTTGTTACAATATGCATTATTGTTAGAGCTTAAAATCCTAATTTTCCTCACAACCATAATGTTCAAGTCGAAATGATCGCTGTAAAGGCTTTCCAATGTTTGACTTGTAATTTTTGATGAGTTATGAAGTGAGGATTTATTTATTCTGATAGGGCTGCTGCCCTATCAAACCATTTTCCAATTTTTTTTACTCGGTAATGCCTCGTTAAAACTTAAGAAACTTCAAACAATTGTAACCGTTAGATGCCAAAAAGGGCTAGGATGGGGCTTGAAGAACGACGCAACCCACTGTTGACATCGATGGTTGCGATGTTATCTTTCCTACAGAACTTTCACACAGCATTCAAATATTGCAAAAAGGTCCCAAAAATTCTAGACTCCTTTGTTGTCCATGTTGAAAATTTGTCATACTCGATCGTTATGAACTTTAAAACTGAGAAGTGGATTTACATGCGTTGATCATTTACATGTAATGAGAAACAGAAGGACAAAAATACTTATC